TGGAATATTATATGAATGTTTTCCTACATTAAACGAGCTGACCATCTCTGTCTCTCATCGTGTGACTGAGGTTTGAAGTTTGCCCATGCTCAGAGCTTAAATAAAGGTCAACAGCATTTGGGCGAATTCATCCAGCAATCTGCTTGGATGTAAAGAAACTGTAATTACTTCCTTTGAGATTTTCTGGGTGTGGAAAAGAAACAGGAAGCTTTCTCTCTCATGACTTTTTGGAAACTGTTTTCAAATAGTGAGGGTTTTTGGTTAATGAACATAGAGCATGGAGACATAAAGTGGATTAGATTCTATATTTTTAAATTGAGATCCTTTCCTACAATATATATCCTTTCCATCTCCAAAAACACATGTGTTACTTATTCCAGATCCAGGAGACCCATATAGTAAGATAGAGAGCTATTTACAAGCAAAGTTTTTTTTTCAAACCCTAATGTGATTGATTTTTGCCACTTACTTGATTGGTAAAGTTTTTCCCCCGTCTCTGGCACTTCAGGCAAGCTTCTTTTCCCTGATTCTTTTCTCATATCTTTGTATTGATAACTCTCTCTTCTTCTGACCATCCTCTGAGAAGCAGACGAAGGAGCTCTTTTCATGCCAATGGACTCCCCCTCCATCTCCCCCATTCCCTCTAATGAATATAATTACTATTTAAACTTGTAAATGTGGAACCTGTAGGTGCAAACAATAGTGTGAAGGCAGGTTTATTTATTCAGGACTATTTCACATTGCAATGGACTGCAGAGAGGAATATAATAGTCATAAACCAATACAGTCAGGAAAAAGATATCTGATTAAAAGAAAGAAAGAAAGAAAGAAAGAAAGAAAGAAAGAAAGAAAGAAAGAAAGAAAGAAAGAAAGAAAGAAAGAAAGAAAGAATGAATGAATGAATGAATGAATGAATGAATGAACGAACAAATGACAAGTTGACCTATAAATCCAGGCAGGCAGGCAGAAAGGAAGAGATCATGCTATGCCTGAGAGAGATTGTCATGGATTTGGGGAACATGACAGGTATTTGTCCCAATTTCTGGATGGTGAATTTGTAGGTGGCAGTCCTAGGCTATTGCCAGTTCTGTCCCCTTGACTACACTGTAAACACGATTAAATGTTCCTAAATTTTACCCCATACCATCAGAGGTTAACAAACCTGCTGATTCTCCTATGTGATGTTTCCATTTTTTGCTAGTGATCCTATCATTTACTAGTTTATCATGCAGCCAAAAAGTCAGTTTTTACAAAAAAGAATAAGTCAGCAAAAAGCAGACATAGTATCAGAAAGGTTAGCATGAGTGTTTAAGGACACATCATTCTCCTAGGATGCATAGTAGCTGGCTTCAGGATCAACTCTCCTCGAACTTCAAAGACAGATTCAGCAGGGAAACGGTTGATCAAAGGCTTTTTATCTCACTACTAATGTTAACCAGTTTATATATGGAGGGTTTTGTAGATCACCAACCAACGTCTGTATCTGTTCTGCCACTTGCATGGAAAGTTTTTGCTCTTTTTAACTTTTCAAAATCTATTTCACCTATCAGTGTCTATAGAATAGGGAAATTCTTCCATTATGTTTAGTATGGAAAAGGCTTGTTTTACCAATGCATATAACCATTATGGCTCCATGAGAATAAAAAACTTTCTAAGTTGTCTCTCCCTGCAATACCACCAGAGATGACAGATACAAAAATAAATCACCTTTGCAGAACAAGGCTAAAGACAATTTGCAGAAGACAATCTTAAACCCAAGAGCTTGGCTAGAGCATTTTTTATTCCCTTGTTTTTCATGCTGTAGATTATTGGATTCATTAGAGGGGGAATCATGGAATATGATATAGTGAAGGCCAAACCAAGATATGGTGGAGATTTAGAGGAAGGGTTCATGTAGACAGTACATGCTGTGAATATCAATAGGGAAACCACAATAAGATGGGGAAGGCAAGTTGAAAAAGCTTTCTGCCTTCCCTGCACAGTGGGAATTTTCAGCACTGCAGTAAAGATATGGACATATGTCACAGTGATGAAAATGAAACATCCTATTGCAACTACAGCAGTTAATACACTATATCCAACTTCAATTAGGTACATATCAGAGCAAGCAAGCTTCACTAAATGGGGCATTTCACAGAAAAAACCATTGACAGTGTTGGAGCAAAAGGGTGGTGCAAAAGTACCACCAGTGTGTAACATTGCATTAAGCAAACTGCTGAGCCAAACAACACCAGTCATTTGAAGGCAGGTTTGTTTCTTCATCAGTATCTCATATTGTAATGGATTGCAAATAGCAACATACCGATCGTAGGCCATAACTGTGAGAAGAAAGAAATCAGATGATATAAAGAAGATGAAAAAAAAAACTTGGGCAACACATCCAGAATATGAAATCTGTCTAGTCTGCATGAAGGAGCTAGCCATGGATTTGGGGACCATGACAGAAACTTGTCCCACATCCTGTATGGCCAAGTTCAGCAGAAAGAAGTACATGGGATGGTGTAAGCGGTGGTCAGTTAGTATCGCAGAGATGATGAGAAGATTTACTCCAACTGCTACCAGGTAGTAAACAAGGAACACAATGAAGAATAAAACCTGAAGCTCATGAACTTCAGAGAATCCCAAGAGAATGAAGTGTGTGAAGGAAGACTGATTCCTTAGGTTTTGTTCCTTAAGATGCATATTGCTCACCTATGGAGAGAAGCAGAAGAGCATGATTATGAGAAGAGCAGCCACATTACTTGCAACTGGTTGGTGATTTTATTACAGTGGTTTTTCATTCATTTCTTATTTATCAGTATTTAAAACTTCTTTCATTCAAAATTGTAGTCAAATTGGTGTTAAGGAGTTGTGCAATACACAGTATAATAATACACAGAATCCGTATTGAAGCATAAAAACGTAATCAGTGTAAAAAAAACACCTCTGAGACTAATCTACACAAAGAAGGCTTGTAAGAATTACGGGGGGAAATTGTGTGCCTCACCCCAGACATTGTTGGGGCACAGTTCCTGTCCAAATTTTGAGGCACCATTACCCTCAGGTAACCAGCTCAAAAAATGTTTAGAAGTTTATATGTCAATATTTAAACTCTAATCCTTCATTGATAATTTTGTAATACTATGATTATGCTTGTAAATATCCTACAAACCTACTGCCAACAAAAGCATATCACAATAAGTCAAAACACTATCTGAAAGAAAAGAAGTGACAAAAGACAATATTTTCTGCCAACATTTTCTATTAGACATCTATAAAAGCGTACATGATAAGTAGTTAAATCTAAACACTTTTTTTTACATCTGTTCATGTGACAGTGGCACTAAGAAGCTTATCTTGCAGTTCCAATCCTGCATAAATTCTATGGTCAAATATGATTATGAAGCAATACCATGTCTTGTGGGTGTAAATTTTATTTAAAAATGAGAACTTTCAAGTATCTCCTGCACAAAGCAGTGAACAGTATTATCTGTTATAAGATGAGATAAAAGGGCAGGGAAGCACACCAATAAGTCTAGGATCTTCAGCTCTTGAATATTTGACAATTACACAAGAAGAAATGTTGGTAGAAGAGTTTGATTACATGAATCTTATCAAGGATACTTCCTAAAGAAGGAAGCAAGACAAACATTACAGTATAAGCTGAACGGGACAATATGTCTAACTGCAGTGCTTGCACTTTTAATATTAAGCTGACACTATTACTCTTATTATTCCTGTTACTGCTCCGTTTTTCCTAATTGGAGGGTCTGTTGACACAGAGCAAATACAGAAGCATTCTAGTGGGCTGGGACACATTGATTATGGACATTTACATCCTCATAACCTTCAGCCTAAACTAAAGGAAGGTAGTCTTCATAGGGCCTTGAAGATAACATGGATGTTGCAGTGAGCACACTATGTGGCAGCTAGACTATGAGAGGGAATACTTTTCAGAGCCTATATAATTGTGCTGCTAAAAGAAACGTATCAGTTGCCAATATCTAGTTCAGGTCCAGGGTACTGTTGATGACCTAAAGAGCCTTAAATGATTTGGGACCTGGCTATTTAACAACTGCCTTTTACTTTAGGTGCCTGCCTAAGCATTGAATCTGCTGGGTAAATAATAGACACGTGGAACAGTCGCATTAATGAGTAATGATCCAACATTTTTTTTATCTATGTACTACAATTATTTATATCTCATATTTCAAGTTTATTGAGAGAGAGAGAGAGAGAGGTGGGAGAGCATGCCTTTGGATAAAAAACAATAGAGAAACTCCTGAAGTAATGAGGTAGAAATTACTTACTATTTTTCTTCTCATATATCTCTCAGCTCCAGATGCACTTTCTATTCCATTGGTATTCAGTGCCTGTGTACATTAGCTGACCAGAAAGGTATACCATTTTGTAAATTCTTCTTTTGGACATTTTTGATGGCAGCAAGAGTTTATTAGTGCAGAGAAAACACTTCTTAATATATCTTGTACCTGCTGGAGAGGTGCTCCTGTGGGAATCCAACAGAACTCCAAAACACAAACATGAGACTATTCATTACTATATACGAATGATCTCCCATGCCATTAGGTAGCTTTCTTTGTCTGTAATGGATGCCTGTATTGAACATGGGAAAAAGTAAGGAAAAGAAAGATGGAAAACCGGCTGGATAAATATGATGGTTCATTTTTTATTATTATTATAACACAAGTAAACATACAAGACAAACACAAACATATATGCGGGGAGATAATTTCCATATATCCATCTAGTATATAATTCTGATTACATAAACTATATTATCCTACTAACATATATAGACCATTATTAAGATAAAAAATGACTTCCTTACTTCATAATGATCAACATACATACATTATATAAAATATAAACTTAGAGCTATATTGATCTTATATTCAAACAATTCTATTGTTATATTTAATATGAGATATTCTAGTTTAAGATTTTCATATGCTTATCACTCGTAAAATGTAAAAGTCAACAATTACTAACGCTATATCATAATATAATTGTATCCCAGCATCCTTATTATATCCAATTAAGTGTCAAAATAATAGTGTTTACAAATCAACAAAAATCAATATTTTAAAAAGAAAAAATATATATGTGAAACCTTAACTACATAGTCAAACTATGATTCATATATTACTTAGTATCTTTATATTTCTATCTTGTCATCTAAACAATCTTATTCAAGATACATATGCTAATTTAAAAGATTATATGCAGTTATCAACCATTTAAAACATTCAGCAAGTAACTTTCCAGTTTTTGTTATATTTCTCAGCTCCATGTATAAACCAGGGATCCAAGATTATTTATAGCCTTGCAAACCTAGAATTAATTTCTTACATTCTTTTTACCAGCCTTAAAGTGCCATTTATAAAATCTCTTTAAGCCATTTTCTCTCCGATTTACTAAATTTATCCCTCTATCAATCATATTCTGCCCCTGAAGCCAAACAGTATCTAGTCTGTAATGAACATTTTGTTGCCCTTCCAGGTTCGCCTTCCCACTTCCCTGTTTTGAGTGTTCTCCCATCAAATTAATGTCTATTTTGCAGTAATCTTCTCCTTTATGTGCATCCACCTGACCCTCCCTCTCACCATACAAGTTCATTATTCTGGCCTCCTTTTGGGGGGGTTTTACCCTCCTTCCTAACAACAGATAAAGTCATTCTCTCTGGGACTGCCTCTGAGTCGATAGGCTGGCCAGGTGTCTTCGGATCCTTTTCTTTTCCAATCCATCCTGAGAACAATGCCTTAACTTCAGAAATCTGGGCCGTCATGTAATTAACAATGTTTATTTGGAACTCTTATAAAGCGTCCTTGACGTATTCCTCCATTTTGAGTTGGGCAGCGTACTCTCTGGTTCCTGAATATGAATCTCACATACAAAAATGCTTTCTGTCACAGAGGAAAAAAAAGTTCTTCTGTTTTCTCCCAAAAGCTCACCAAAAGCTTATCGCACTGTTGGCTCATATTCAACTTTTGATCTACAACAATTCCAAGATCCTTCTCACTTGTAGTGTAATTGATCCAAGTATCTCCCATCTTGTAAGTAAAAAGTGGGGATGTTGTTTGACTACAGCCCCTATCTGGGCTGGCTAGCATAGCCAATCACGAGGAACAAAAGCTCTGCTGGAGACAACACTCATCCCCTTTAGGGAATGCTGCCTACACCCTTTAAGGGGTCCTCCAAAACGTGAGATTTCTGTTGCGATGAAAAACTTCAGCACACGTTTGGAGTGCAAAGGATGGTGTCAGCTAGGAAGCCCAATTTTACCTATGTGTTTCATAGTTGTGTAGCATGCTCTGGTAAGTAAAGTTATAATGCCTGATCCAAGTATTTCCCATCTTGTAAGTAAAAAGTGGGGATGTTGTTTGTCTACAGCCCCCATCTGGCCTGGCTAGCATAGTCAATCAGGAGGAACAAAAGCTCTGCTGGAGACAACACTCATCCTCTTTAGGGAATGCTGCCTACACCATTTAAGGGGTCCTCCAAAACGTGAGATTTCTGTTGCGATGAAAAACTTCAGCACACGTTTGGAGTGCAAAGGATGGTGTCAGATAGGATGGCCAATTTTACCTATGTGTTTCATAGTTGTGTAGCATGCTCTGGTAAGTAAAGTTATAATGCAAAACATCACAACATGGTTCCAATACTTTTGCTTCTTTTTAATAGAATACTGTACAAAAATGAGTGAACAGAGCTTCTACCACAATGATAGAGAAACAGTGCTCTTTTCCGATTCTGCTTTCTCAGGATGAGGCCTGCAATTGCTAGATAATGCATCCCTTTCTGATCATAGGATTTTTCAAATCAGCAGGTTATTGCTGATACAGACAAAGGACTTTTTAATGTATTCTTGAAGGCTTTCATGGAGATATCATAGGATTTTTCAAATCAGTAGGTTATTCCTGATACAGACAAAGGGCTTGTTTAATGTATTCCTGAAGGCTTTCACGGCTGGGATCTGATGGTTGTTGTGGGGTTTTTCAGACTCTTTGGCCGTGTTCTTCAGTGGAAGTGAAGGCTTTCATGGTTGGGATCTGATGGTTGTTGTGGGTTTTTTCGGGCTCTTTGGCCGTGTTCTTCAGTGGAAGATGCCGGCCACAGAGACTGGTGAAACGTCAGGCAGAACAACCTTCAGAACACAGCCAAAGAGCCTGAAAAACCCACAGCAACCATCAAAAGGGCTTGTTTATTCATCAGTATATCACATTGTAATGAATTGCAGGGAATTTATAACAATTGTACTTCAGTACAGTTAGGGGAAAGATGCCTGATGTCATAAATAAGATTTAAATGAGACCTTAAATCACAAATCCAGAAAAAGAAACAGATTTGCTGTACATGAAAAAATTCATCATGGATTTGGGAATACGACAGATAATCATCTGACATTCTGGATGGTCAGATTCATCACAAACAAGTATTTAGGAAAGTGTAGGTATGCCCCAAGGCTGTTGCCAGTTCTATCCCCAAGTCTACATTACAAACACAATTAAATGATCAAAGATTTTGATTTATACCATCAGGGTATATACACCTGCTAATTTATCTATCTTTTTGCCTGTAACTTTTGCCAGGTTATCATGTGGCCAACAAGTCAGGGGGGTTTTGTGAAGAAAAGAATTAATTCGCACAAACCAGACATTATGATCCATAATGTTAGTATGCTAATGAAGTTACTTAATGTTAATATGTTAATAAAGACACATTGTATTTCCAGGATACTTTGTTTCTGGCCTCAGGGTCAACTGTCCTTGAACTTATGAATGTCAAAGAGAGATTCAACAGAGAAACACTTGACCTAAGACTATTTATCTCTAAGAATATAAACCAGATCACCTATTTTTATATTACCAACCTAAGGGTTTATGTGTTTTGCAACCTGCACTGAGATGTCTCTTTCTTTGTAACTGTTATCCTCCTCTTATCCTTCTTATTAACTGTATTTAATAGATAGCCTCTACTGTTTATTTAGTGTGGAAAAAGAATTTTCTCCAACACAAATGTGTAAATAGACGTATTGCCACTTGGGCATATTTATCACCAGTTCATGGAAGTGAAAAACTTTAAATGAACATGACTAAATATATATACTTGCCACCTCATGATGAAGGTTAAACCTGTGTTAAAATGATCAGCGTATTGGCATCCTTTAAATTTCTACCATGTTTAGTATTTTCCATCCCCTCTGCCCCATCTTGTGAATCTATCCAGTAAGGATCCTCTCCCTGCATTTACAAACATGAGTTCCACATCATGATAGCTTACACTAATCTTTAAGATGCTGAAAGAATTTTGATTGATTTTACTGCCTTTTACAGTAACATGATTATTTATCCCAGAATCACACTATAAGAATTCAGGGTAGAGACAAACATTTTGACAGAACATACAATTGTCTTTTTTTTCCCTATTAAATGTTTTATAAATGGATGTCACTAAATAAACAAACAAGCCCAATTCACATACGCCACCCAGTTTTCAGTGGGAGTGAGGGGGACATAGATTTGGCCAGAAACTCAGGCAGATTTTCTCATATTGTTGAATAGTTATGGGACACAGCTGCAAGGTCTTTCACACTGTGCTACAGATGTAATGTTGTCATAATAAAACTAAGGGTGGTAGAGTATGAAGAGGACCCAATCGATTAAATCATTTACAGTTACAAGAAGAAATGGGTCATGTTCCCATCAGAGCAGGAGGACAATGAAAACATTTAACCTTGACATTAGGTACTGTGTTAAAAAGCAGCTATAAAACCTTTGTTGTTGTTTAGTCATTAGTCATGTCTGACTCTTTGTGACCTCATGAACCAGAGCACGCCAGGCCCTCTTGTCTTCCTCTGCCTCCCGAAGTTGGGTCAAATTCATGTTGGTAGCTTTGATGACACTGTCCAACCATCTCCTCCTCCTCTCGCCTTCACACTTTCCCAGGATCAGGGTCTTTTCCAGGGATATAAAATGTACAGTTGCATAAAAGAACTAAAGAAATAATTTGTAGAATAGTTATTGCTGCATTACAAAAGGGAAGGCAGATATAAAAAAAGAGGTCCCACTTACAGAACAAAGCTAGACAAAGAACCCACAGGAGATTATCTTAAACCTAATACCTTGAATAGGGCATTTCTTATTCCCTTGTTTCTCATGCTGTAGATTATTGGGTTCATTAAAGGGGGAATCATGGAATAGACTATTGTCTTTGCCAAATCAAGATATGATGAAGAATTAGAAAAGGGCTGGACATAAACAGAAAATCCTGTCAACACAAATATGGAAACCACGATGAGGTGGGGAAGGCAAGTGGAGAAGGCTTTCTGCCTTCCCTGCATAGTAGGAATTTTCAACACTACTGTAAAGATGTACACATAAGTCACAATGATGAAAATAAAACACCCTCCTGCAACCACAACACTTAACAAAAGAAATGCAACTTCAATTAGATACAAGTCTGAGCAGGCAAGCTTCACTAAATGGGGGATTTCACAGAAAAATTGGTTGACAATATTGGAGCAAAAGGGAGCTGCAAAGGTACCACCAGTGTGTAAGACTCCATAAAGAAAGCTGCTGATCCAAACAATAGCAATCATTTGAAGGCAGGCTTGTTTGTTCATCAACATCTCATATTGTAATGGATTGCAAATAGCCACATACCGATCATATGCCATAACAGTGAGAAGAAAGAAATCAGATGCTATAAAGAAGATATAGAAAAGCACTTGAGTCACACATCCAGAATATGAAATCTGTCTACCGCCCATTAGGGAGTTGGCCATGGATTTCGGGACAATGACTGAAATTTGTCCCACATCCTGTATGGCCAGGTTCACCAGAAAGAAGTGCATGGGGTTATGTAAATGGTGGTCAGTAACTACTGCAGTGACGATGAGAAGATTTCCTCCAGTTGCTACCAGGTAGTAAACAAGGAAGACAATGAAGTGAAGAACCTGAAACTCACGAACCTCTGAGAATCCCAAGAGAAGAAACTGTGTGAGGGAAGAGTGATTCCTTAGATTTTGTTCCTTAAGATACATGTTGCCTGTCTGTGAAAGGAAGTAGAAGACAGTGTAAATAGAGGAGTTGCATTACTTGAAATTCCTTGTGATTTTTTCATTGTTGTGGTTTATTCATTCTTATTGATTCATATTTATGAACTGCTTACATCTAAAGGTGTGGTGTTATAAAAACACACAGTACTAACCTACTAACAAATAAGGCACCTATTCTGTATATGTTTACATGTAAAAAAATTATTGGGGACAAAAAAATTATCCCAGTGAGTATGGATAAATTTACTAAAATGTTATTTTTGGTCCCAGCATCTTCCATCTACTGTATTCTGATTCAAAATTAAATGAAATAAAATTAAAATTCAATTAAACAAGCAAACAAATGTATGGCAAATGTCTGAACCCTAAAGAATTTTTCTTATAATTCTTCAGGTGACCATAATAGAAAACACTTACGTAGTAGATCTAGATCTGCACAAATTCTGCAGCCAAAGGTGACTCTGATAAGTGTAAATTATGGTTGAGAACTCATGTGAATCTATCCCACAAAGCACTGAACAGTATTAATGCTGGAAAATGTGTTGACAGATATAGAGAAAGAAGAAGCATGAAGAAGTGTAGAATCTGTAATTCCTGAACCTCTCACAATATCATAAGAAGAATTTTTTATCGAGAAGTTTGATTAACTGAATAGTATCCCTTATCAAAGATACTTTCTGTTGTAACATGGGGTTAATAGGGAAGTAGATCTAGATGAAGTCCTTATTATTTTATTTTAATTAAAATATTTTACCCTGCCTTCCTCCATGAAAAATAGAAACACTGAAAGACAATATCTAAAGCTATAAAGGGAAACCTTACATAATTAAAAAGCAATATTAAAACTAAGAACAATAAGTATACAATAAAAAGAAAAAATGCCAGTTTAAGAAATTGTTATTTGTTGTCTCACTCTAGTTTTCCTAATTCTTGTGGTCTGCTGAGAATTTGAAAATACAGAATCATTGTTTGGCGTCTGTAATAGACCGGATGAGGGCCAATGTAATATTTGACTGCCAGAGCACAGCTTGAATTGGGCCTCCATGTATGACTTTTTCTAAACAGGCATTATCTGACCATAGAAGTTCACAGCCTGATCGCCTTCATGTTAGACCACAGTAAGGCACATTACAGGGGTTGGCAATATAGGACAGCTAAATAACTGGCATGAAACCCATTCTTAGTCAATATGATAATGGTCCTGAAAGAATTGCATCACCTTCCAATACACATCCAGTACAAGCACAAGCTGTTGATGATGACCAACAAGCTACTAAAAAGCTTAGGACCTAGACATTTAATGGGCTTTGCTCTCTCTTTGGACCTCTAATCATTCAGTTCTGTCAGAGAGGCAGGGGAAGTATTAGGGAGTAATAATGGTAGTAACATTTTTAAAAATATATTTATATCTCATCTTACATGGTTATTAGCAAGAGAGAGAGAGAGAGAGAGTGCAAGTGCACAACGTATGTGGTACAACATATGTGGTAGAAGATAGGTTTGTAGCAGGAAATCAGAAAAATGCTGAAATTATAAGATAGGAATTACTCACTATTTTTCTCCACATATTCGTCTTTGGTCCAGATACACCTTATAGTCCAGTGATACTCAGTGTTCCATGTACAATATCTGACAAGACAGAAATACTATTTTATAAGGCCTCCTTCTTTTGCATCTTTGTGATGGCAGCAATAGTATGTTAGTGCAAAGAGGAGACTTATTAATATCTCCCTTTGTGCCCCTTGAGATGCGCCCTAGTGGGAAGCCTTCATACATCTGAAACTAAATTCTGAAAGATGAAATGATTGATCAATATGTACCAATGATAAGCTATTGCCTCAGAGAGCTTCCTCTGTCTCTAC